GCTAAAACAAGAGCACAGTTCTAGTAAAATAAACCTTTTTGGTAAGACTTACAAACGGAATCAAATACCGGCACAGTTTAACGTTTATTTCATAAAAGTACTACTAAGAAAGTATTTCACAATTTTTAAACTTTCTTGCTATGTTTCTCATTACAATTAACAAATCGGCATAACAACTGAGATGAATTCTATTATCATTATGTCTTTAGATAGGAAGAGTTAAATGATATTCAAACTAGAAACTAAACAATTCCATTAATCAATAAAATTTTTCAGTAAAAATTTTAGATCTCACTAGTTTCTGTTCATCACTGTTGTTGCAATTACCAATTATCATTGATATGACTAGTTGTTTGTAATTGAATAAGCTTAACCCAATTAGTAATTTTAAGTGTTAAAATTCTTTTAAAACTTACTTTAGACGTTGGTTATATTTGTCGCACATTAAAAAAGCTGTAATATTGATGAGAGTATAATGGAAGGCATCCAAATCATTTTCATCCAATTCCTGTCAAAATTTATCGGCGTAAAATTTTTTTTTGCAAAAAAAGAGAACGTGCAAACCTGTCTAAATTTATTGTACTTACGAAATTAGCAAACACATAATTATATTGCTTTTTGACAAGTATGCTCTCTTTCAGCGATTGCAAAAATGCTCGGATACGATAACTATTCGAAATATCCACCACAACATTCAAGGATCTGGAAGAATTAAGTACAGTATGACGTTAACTTTGTTTCCACCTCATGCCATGAATTGTAATGCTACATAGTCTTTACAGACAGATCAATATCAAACAAACTGCCCATTTTCCCTCTTTTATACCAGATCCATATCAGTACCTTGTTTTCACTATATGTGTTATGACTTGAAATTTTTGGTTCACACCTTGAATCAACGAAGTTAAAATTTTGCATATGGAAATTATTGAGAAATTCTCGGAAGTACTCCTCATCTTCAGGAATACGGTAACTATTGATCTGCAAGGCATAGATCGGATTTTTTTCCAAGTATTTGTATATTGCAGTAAGGCTTCGTTCCGCTGAAACAAATATTTTTAATTCAAATTTTTTAGTGTGTCATACTACCTTGCTGAATTTCAAGAATTAAAGACTTGATCAGAGTTCAGATTTCAAACATTATATTTAAATAAAATTAGATTTAATCACAAATAGAGTTAAGATGAAGTGGAATCGGTTAAAAGTAGATTTAATCACAAATAGGGTCAAGATGAAGTGGAATTGGCCGTTTGATGGGTATTAAAATAGCTGAAATTCAGATCGAAGAAACTAAAGTATCATATAGATAAATAAATTGAACATCGTTTACCATTAGCACCATCATGTAAATAGATAATCTCATGCCACTGCTTAATTTTGATATAATCCACTAGTATTTCATCAGCTGGAGGTCTTACGGATGCTGTGAAAGCCGAAGTCGAATCAGAGCTCAAATCGGAAGTCTCCCAGTCAATCAATGGTATCTGAATAAGTAAATACATTTAAAAGACTACCAGCAGAAGACAAATTTTATACTGACAGTGGTTTCATTATTTTATGAAAAATAATGAGAGCCTAAGATATCAAGTTATATTCTTATTTCAGCAACCCCTATGTGCTGAAAAATTGTCATGGTGCTAACAGTGATGCATTTAGTAGAGAAAAGTAACCGGTATGGAGTATTTGAAGCAGTGACAACCAGAAATGTTTAATTTAAATTTGATTGAAACCAACTTTAACTCGTTTCGCCAATGAACTATAAAGACCAAATGATACAGGTGAACTACCGGCTAACATGATCATAAAACCAATTTTGAGCTCATCGCATACTAAAATTAGAAATAGGTACCACGGATATATATCATCAGAGAATTTATAAAAAAGTGAATTATTGCAGTCTTAATGACAGTAATTTTAAATCATTTATAAAATACAAACGTGAGGATTAGCAAGTTGAGCAACAAAACTATGTAAATGATAAATAGAAATAAGAAACCGAAATCCGCTAAATGCCAAAGAAGCGTTGTGGAATGCATTGCCGGAAGGTAACGTACACCAAGCGCCACATCTACTGTATTTTTTCCCTCCATATTAAACCAAAATTCGGCTAGCCGAAGCATTTCTTGTATAATCGCTGCAGTAGTGTTGTCCAATTCGCTGGTATTTATGAAGGCACCTTAAGTTTTTTGAAATCTTTCAACATTTTTCCAAAAATGTTGCAATTTAGGATTGATGAATCGGCCCATCCTATTCGAATTTTAGTGCATGCCTTTAAAATTTGTAAAGGATACCTTGCAGGCAAAAGTTGCCAGCACAGATAATTTGATCCTCTAATATCATCTAACTATTTCGATCTTTTCGGATTGTCTCTTGATAAACAACGGTAGTAGAAGTCGGGAGATGTTTGTGAGCACTATTTTATACTTTTTCTATTTTAAGCGGTCCGCCCTACGATTGTTATCATCAGCTCTATTACGAATGAACAATAATGGATGTAATATTATTACCAAATAATTTTTAATAGGTTCCAAATAACGGGTTTGAAACTTACGTAGTGGCACCTTTCGGATAAAACAATAAGTTTGCTGGAGACAAAAAGCAAGCAGTATGAGTGAAATGCTTTTTTTACATGTAAGGATCATTGAAATTTTGTGAGGTGTAATTCCGAAGACCAAAACAAATTCCAAATAGGAAGAAAAGCAGTTGGAGACAAGAGAAGTGAGCTTAATTCATCGTGAAAAAAAATCTCAATGATTCTCCCAACTCACTTCACCATAAAATAGACTCTTGACGAGCAGGCAAAAGCGAAATTGGATCCTCCGCTTCAACAAATTTTACTTCAACAAATTTCACGGCGTTTAAAAAAAGTACAGTACAGAGACGATGCTTCCGTCGCAAAAAGAATAATTCGTTGATACTAAATTATTCCGCACCCAGTAGTCCTTCATTTTTTCTCATATAAACAGTGGGCGGAAAATTGGAAATTTCTAAAATGTTGTAATTTGTGCGAAGACCAAATGAAGTGAGAGGTGTATTGTTCGCTTGTATGTGTGCCCTTCGCCTTCATTGCTGCTCCATGTCCCTTCATATAAGAGATGTTGTCATTAAAATGCAAATGCAATTTGCTTAACGGCCATTTTCCAAGAACGATGAAAGGAGGCCCAAGGCGCCCCATCGCGAAAGGAAGCCCAAACCACCCCATCGCTAAATGCGACCCGATATTCCATGTTTTTAGCATTAACACCGTTTATTTCATAAAGTTTGCCATTTCGTTCACGTTTGCAGTTATAACTAGTAGCGCTTTTGAGTTCCGTAGAGTGCTGCAAAACGACTAACTAACTTCCAATATATATTTAATAGCATGTTGAAGTTAGCACTCATTTGAAGTTTCACGGAGATAAGCCTTGTTGGCTTCATTGTCAGATAATACACAGCTCTATCGATAACTGAAAAAGAAGCCTTCCTATAAATTTATTATCCAATCCCATGGGGCCAATCCAATACGACAAACCACCTCGTTAAATTCATTCCTGACTTAATCGTGTCCGTCAACGTTGAATGCCCAAAATATAAATTTACCAAGTTAGATGTGCATCCAATTCTTGCAAGGCCTACTCGCTACCTTTAAGATTTAGAAAATAAGGGCGAGGATGCGAAAACCAAACAACTTGACACGACCGACATAAGTTGACATTCATTTTCTAACTTGTTTTCCTTCAAAAGAAAGAAAAAGAAAAAGGAATTTCAAGAGACAAATCTCAATTTTCGCCACATCAACAATCTTGTTCCTGTACCGGATTCATGAATACTACATGGACTAGGATGCAAATGTCCCGCATTCCCTTCTTTCTTGCTGCTGAAAGCAAATAGATTCAGCAAAGTAATATCTGGACATTACTGATGAATCCATTTGTAACTTGCAGAACAAAGAAAGCAATTGTCTCTTTCACTTTTTTCTGAATCACTTCTATTTTTCCTAAGTACCAAACACCCACTCATAGTGTTTCTTCATTGGGTTGCACTTTTGAATTTATTCATTTCTCATTCAAGCTCGGTAAACTCACACAATATTCCCATACGAAGAATGTGGCAAACTTATTTTCCATTCCTTCAGTGCATTTTAAAATTTCGCAGCATCAATAAATTTTCACTCCTGCTGAATAGATCCGACATACGTATAACGTTCACGCTCAATAATCACGTCTTATGCATTCCATGAACATCAGTTTCCCACATCTTATCCGCTGGAAATACTTAATCAAACTGGACAAGAGATAGGTGCTACAATTTCGGATGAGAATAAGCATAACGTCCACTGATGAGGTGCTAAATAGTAAGGTTCATTTTTGTTTCCCACGGATCATTCTCAACCATTCTACAATACGTGCATTTCCTGTCTTTTAGTCTGTTATCAAAGAATAAGATCAGTTATTACATTAGAAAATCAATGTTGTAGGGATATCATAAGCACTCCCACTATGTAAACATGGGAGTTAATCACCGAAGGTTCAATTATCAACTGAACTCCTCCATCGCTTGTGCGCTCCGATTCGATTCAAAATTCCTGCTATCCGTATCTTGTGAAATCCCCATTAAACACAACCTTAACCGAATTCCTATCCGATTTCCCTATAAAGACAAGAATCCAATGATCAGCTTGTCTGATTATTCTTCAATATTGCTTTACTACATCCAAGAAAAATAAACCCCGTTAATCAGCATACTCTTTATCATCATGATTCCTCCACGCCTTCAGAAAAATTTTCATAACACCCCGCAATCCTTCCTAACTTTTCATAAATACCATTCAGAACATCCATATCTATCACCATTACCTCAATATAGTCTCTCATTTGTAGGCATTGTAGAAATTGATTTGTTGCTTCGCTCAGTGCTGCGTAGTACGAGTACATACCGAGATATCTCGGAAAAACCATGCAGCGGAATAACTCAAAGCGTCATCAACGGGTGCATGCAAAGCGTTAGGGAGTACATTCGAGAACCCAATATAGCCAGATTGCCTACATCTTAGAGCAAACCAATATTGGTAGGACTCAGCTGCAATAAACAGCCAAATCGCACCGAACTTAGTTTCACCATTAAGCCTGGTTCCACCAGCTTTGCTTGAAATAACGGACCGCTTGTTGCACCGTTATTTATGGTTCTTGGTGCTGAATTCCAAAAACTGTTCCATATTATGCGGAGCGCTGCTGACTTAAGGCTCATAATTTTTCGCGTTTCCGGACTTGCTCATCATTTCAAACGATTCGTTGTCTGTTGTTAAACAGGTTGAATTGGCGAGTCGAACTGTTTTAAAATAAGCATATTTATGTAAATCATAAGCATATTTATGTAAATCAGTAATTAGAAACCGTTTTGATGCCTTCAGCGAGACAAGAATAACAGTGGATGGAAAAGTCAGCCAAACCGACGAATTACTGCAGCGCTTTCTGTTGAGTCGAGAACCACGATGTTCCTTGGTCGTTTTTATTTAGGCTAGAAAACAGATTTTCACTGCTTCCATTACAGGTAATGTTACAGAAGACATACAGTTTCTTGCAGCGACTAATTTGTCCGGTTTTCGTCGCTCCAACCAATCTTGTGTTGGTCTCTTCTTGTTATGTCCACCATCACAAAGAACGCCACAACCTACGACTCTTTCTCGGCATTCAGCGTTCGAACAAGCACAAAGCTAACCGAAACACACACATCAATGAACGGAAATTTTCTCGGGTAATTTTCTTTGAATGAAATTCAGTAATAGGTGTAGTAGGAAGAAACAGGGAAGTATAACTGGTTAGGAAATTAGCAAATTAATCAGGAGATGTCACTGTGTTCTTCATAGTTTTATTTATGTCACTGTTCATTTCACTTTTATTTCACTGTTATACTAATAAATTAATAGCTTATATTGTAGCTTCGCGCTAAAAAGAATTTCAACATTGAATTGCCTGATGATGATATGCAAGAACAGAGGCAAAAAATGAGTCCATTGGATTTGCGACTCCTTTTGCTGAAGAAAGGAATCAACCCATATAGAGACGTTACACCCCAGACATGGAAGGAGTTTCAAGTGACTTTCAATTCGTGTTGTTAGTTTTTCCAACAATTCTTCTATCAAATGAATGCCATCACCTTTATGCTTCATCGTCGTATTCAAACGGAATAGATCACAAAGAGGAAATGAAGATTCTTTCCATGCAGTGGTGTTTCTCCAAACTCTTTTCGAAACTTCAAATATATCATTTCAGATCAAGTAATGGATCCTTTTATTCCGAGAGAAGAACCTTCACCTGATAATCCTTACACTGTTTTTCGGAAAAACCCGTTGAAACTATTAGGTTTACCTTTCTTACTACCTCCAGAATTCTACGAGAAGAAAGAATCTTTGGAATACGCTTTATTAAGAGCAGAAGAAGGACGACTCACGGCATACCAACATAAGTTTGTATTTTCTGGCTTATCACCAATGCAGCTTATGTAAAAGGCGGTAAATTTTAATATTTTTACTGATTATTACCTCTGAATGCCTAACTAATTGGATTCCTTTCCAATTTTTTTAGTGTTTTTTGTTATTTTCAGGTATTTTAACCATAAACACGGCATGAAGCGAATACGTAAAAGGAAGGGATTTGAAAATTTCAGTGTTAAGGTAAATTGAATCCAGATAGATAACAAACCTGAACTATGAGGATTTATTTGCAACACTTCTAGTCTCATCGAACAGTATGTTTAAGGTTAAGCAAATGCAGTGATCCTCGATTTTTGAAATCATTTCATTTTTTAGACTTTTCCGGCTACTGCTGATGAAATTTATATTGAGGCTCACAGAGCTTTGATGACTCGTGATAAGACTGCATTACAGAAATATATAACAGAAGCTGCGTTTGGGGTAAGCAATTTCATATTTTTGGCAGAAGCATTTGTGGTTTTTCATTCATCTTCATTTTTCATTGTGTTTCAGCGTTAATGGTGTAAGTTGAAGTTGAATCCATATAAATACCTTCCACGTCATTTGTCCTTACTCATTCCTCTATATTTGCATACTTTATGAGTGTTAGTTTTGCGTTTCTCGATTTTCTTGTTCGTACTCAGATACTTCCACTCTCGTTAACTTATCTTATTTTCGTCCACATTACGTAACTTTGACGATTTACGTGGTATCTTTCTGTTGCAGAAAATGTGGCCGGATGTAGAAAATGGTTCAGTAATATGGGAATTAATTAAACATATCGAACCATCACGCGTTGTATCTGTTCGTTGTGCTGATTTCCCACACCAGTCTGGAAATGATATCGCCCAGATCATCGTTCGAATGTATACAATGCAGGTATTATATTTGCTGTGGATCATTATCTTATGCAAAGTTATATGTTTGTATTTCTGACTTTTCCGTAAGTAGGGACAAGTAATGATTCCTTTTAGCTGAAAACGATTCAAAATCGATCTTGCAGAAAATTGCGCTTTACGACCGTTTTGGTAGATTAATACTCGGAACAGAACAAGAGGCAAAACCAGTACTGGAATATGTAGTTTTCGAAAATCATATTGCTAGCTTTGATGGTATTTGGAGGTTACACGACAAAGTTTATCCAGAATGGGTTAAACCCAAACGAGATTTGCCTAGGTTGGCGTTCATATGGATTTGTAGATTATTATTACAGCTAGACGGTTGAAGTGTTTCGTTTTGCATGAGATCAAAAAGTGGTAGACATTATTTGCAGGCAAACGACGATCTCTCAGGAGCATTTACAAATCCAGACCAGGCAACCGCTCAAATTAGGTGGTGGTCGAGAACTATCAGTACCTGAAGAAAAGTGATAAGCTTCTTGCCGCATCCGGAAAAGAGTTCTGCTCGTGAATGTCATGTTTTTATATCTCGATGTGATGTAAAAAATATGGAAATTGCGTTTAACTTTTGGAAAAATGTGACGCACCGAATTCCTTTAATGAATCAAATAAACTTTTAATTTACTGTCCGAAGAAGTTTGTTTTTTGTGAAGTTCAATTTAATACTCGCTTCCGTGAGTTTTACTCGCTGTTACTATTTTTTTAGAGTTCATTTCTATTGTATGTGTTTCACTCTCTACTGGCCCCTATGGGGGATGCATTTTCTGCTGTCGAATACGGAAAACTTGGACTTCATGGAGTGTACTCTCTCAGCATTGAAGTTACATAACCCCTGCTTATTTCTTGTCAACCGGTAGTAGGCTTTGCTGTTAAAGTTTCTTAAATGGAATGTGGCCTATATTTAATGCTTTGCAGGGATTCAGACTTAGAATTTCTGGAGCCCTCCGCAATTTGCGACACATGATTCACTATGAAATTTCGTCACTGAAATGTTTTGTAGATTTGGAATTGGAAAATTACAGTTACGAAGTATCTAACAATGACAGGAGGCAAAAACAAAAGCAAACCGGAAGATAGCCAGCAGAAAATGGAAACACATGTTGAAGAGGATGACGAGTTTGAAGAATTCCCTCAACAAGACTGGCAGGCTAAAGAAGGCGCTGAGGATGAAGAAGTTAGAACTAATTGCAAGTTTTAGATGTATACGTTTACTTTAAGTAAATTGCAGATGTCAGCTGGTGAACTCCGAACTTCTTTGCGCTTACAGTATCTCCATTTTTCATCCAACCCACAAGTAGAATGTTTCATGCCTAACAGTTAACAGTTGATCTGTCTGTATTTCGAAGGAAATGTTTATTCTAATGTTTCTCTTATAACTACTAATTATGAAGTACAAGTGTTCATCGGTTGATAATGATGTCGAAATTCTGGAGGAAAGTTTGGAAATTTCTGTTGCATTTTCTGTGATATTTTTTCGTTTTGGGTAAAATTCAGTTCCTGCCAATCACAAATAGTTATAGGAACTGAATGTCTGGGAGGACAACTGGGATGATGAAGCGAATGAGAACGATTTTGCCAAACAACTAAGGTTTGCTTTTTGTAACACAATGGTTTTTTCAATGTTTCATTCGAATGCTGAAGTCACTTTTAACACAAATTATGACATATAATATTGTTCATTGTCATTCAAGATTCTTCATCTGTTTTGTTTCAGAGATGAACTTGCTAAACACGGTCATGGCACTGCAACATGACTGGATGCTGTAATATCGATGTTCTATTAAATTACAAATTTAATTCATTGAGTTTTTTAAGTTCTTGTGGCATAAACCTCTTTCTTTCGAAGCCAAGGAGTTACAAAAACAAATATGCAGGATAAAAGGTTTCTATTAAAAAGTACATTTAACCGAAAAACTTCACTGTCGGAACATTTCAGTACATCTTATGGCTGAAATGGATTTAAAGTGAACTTACTTCTACCGTCTCCATGTTCTACTCAGTATTATCTTCGCGAGTATGTTGTATTTCATAGCTATCATAAGTTAATTCAGGATCAACTTCGAAAGTGTGCGGGATAGGCTGAGGTTCTCCTAATCTGATTCCACTTTCTATTAAGGCACCGAAAAATGCAGATGCCTGCAAAATCTGATAGTGAAAGAAATAATGCAAATTAGCTTTATCTGCGTGCACCACCATTTCATGTAATTAAAAAAGCTAGAACTTAAACGGTTCTTCGCAAAGCAACTTACATGTGCACTCCTTTTAATGTCTTCCATATCAATACCTTGTAAGAAATGTATTCCGGCCATAGCACACCTTAACCCGAGTACATGGCCGATGTTTGCACAAGCAGAAATATCAGAAGGACTGAAATGATTCTAAAAACAGATAAATTTTCAAAAGGAACACAAAAAAAACAGATAAATTTTCAAAAAGATTAACTATTAAAACAAATTGAGAAGGAAGCATCGGCCGATGAAAATCAAATGGTTTTGACTATGACCAGCGTGTACATCAACTAAAACTACTTTTAAAGTGAGGTCTGATTTGTATACAGGCCTATACTGTGGAGTATGCCGCAGACTGGGTGATCAGGCACATATTGAGCAGAGTTGTTGAAGTCTGACTAAAATTGTTGGGAATGGTCTGTCTTTCAGAGTAAAAAAGATCCTTGATCAGTTCGGTTTTACACTAACAAGTAAATTAATGAACCTGCACAGTTGTTTAGATATTTGTTTTTCACGTGAAGATGCTAATAACACAATGCCGTCCTTGTAATGTTCAATGTGACCTTCAACATAATGTCGATGTCGCTGGAAATTTGCCCTGAAAGCCTTCAGAATTCAGAAAGTTGCTTACTTACAATGCTTATGAAGTGAGGAACTTGTCATCTCCCATATTTCTACTCACAATGAATAAACCTGTACTTGAGGGATTTTATGTAGTAAAAAAGATTAGTTTCACCTATATATAAATGAATGCTTATGTCGATCAACGTCCAACCCATAGCCTGCCGGGAAAGTTTGAAGACCCAGTTGTTCAATGTTCCGGGGGTTTCGATTAATGAATTTTGCCAACAATCGTAAACGTGTCATTCTGAAAGGTTTAAAGACGTTAAACAGACAGCTTTATTACAAGCGTATCATCTCATCGAGCAAATTTCAAATATACGGAATAAAACAAGGAACAACATAACCCTACCCCTCCCAGAGCCTCTCAAAAAAAAAGTTGAATAGAAAATAAGCGAAATTTAATAATTTAATACCATTGCTCGTATTTCTGAATGATTCAGAAAATTTAGATGTTAATTATACAAAGCATACCAGACAACACACGCATTCACTTAACGTTGAAACTAACGACATGCAATTTTTTTGGGAAGTTCCAAAATTTTGTTCAGCTTTGTATTTCGATTTGCTCCATAAACTTCAAACGTCTGGCTACAAAAAGAAATGACTGATACTACACAAACAATCGTAACATTTAAAATAACATCGTGTAACAAGTAATCAATGGTTCATGTAGCCATAGTACTGTTATCTGAAAAACCTTTCCAATCAAAATGCGCCTGTTTATCATCATAGGAAAGTTGCGATAACATGAACAATTACAGAAACAAATGACCCATCTTTAATAAGGAACGAAAGCAACGCAACCACATTAAAAACATCCGTATTTAAAAGATCCGTATTATGAGCATAGACTAGAAATCTAACAAAAGACGAAAAAGCATGCTTTACAAAGACGGAAATCAAAAACCAATATTATAATGAAAGCTCTCCTATCCTACAGCGTTCTTAAATAAAAACAAACTTCAGCACTTAATCACGATAGATTAGAACGATCTAATAATAATCGACAAGACAGGACAGTTTCCAAGCAGTATGTGCCATACAATACTGAATAGTTTCCAAAGATTATTAAAATAAGAAAAGTACAACTGAATTACAGGTGGAACTTCCACCTTTACAAACTTAAAGTACAAATTATTATTAGAGCCCTACATACTACACTACAAAAAGTTGGTTTCCAGTTAGTATATATATACCGAAAAAGGACTAGCACGCTGAAAAAACAATACCCGCACCGAAAGAAAAACTTCTTACTTCGAAGCAAGAAAACTTCAGGAAGAAATTCAGGTATTAGTGATGTTCAAATAAAGAAATGCACGCTAAATTGAGTTTAAATAATTATAGTTGTTTATAATTGTCATTCCATATCAGCACCTTATTCTTTCGTTGATTATCTCCCGAATTAAATAGATTACAGAGACTGGATATTTTCGGAGAGTAAACAGAACATCTCTCAGTACTATCAGTTTATATGAAAAATGACCATTTCATTTCAATCTCTTTTTGACACCAAAATTCGAGTACTGCAAAGTTCAGCAGTAAGGTCGTAAATTCCCTTAATTAGAGGATAGATAATGAAACAAGAAACAAAACTTACCATGAGAGAGCACTCGCAAGAAAATATGGATGTTCTCAACACAGAAAAGAAAAACAGTAGTTCGCACAGCTATTGTAAGTAAAAGAACAATATAACAAGTAATTTAAAAAAATAATGATGACAGTTAAAGGGCAGCAAGAAAGTAATATATATGATGAAAACTAAAGATTTACTGAATCTGTACATTTGTACATTACCAGTTGGCTTTATAGCGATATTCACATGTTCTCTTGAAACTGATTCCTCACAGCTCATGTACACAAGATTATTAACGATTAGATTTGTCAGGTGCTGAATAATGAATAATTCAAATGCTGAATAATAAATTCTTCTGACAGACAGAAGAGAAACCTCATATACATAACCAAAATTAATAAAGAAAAATAAGAAACCATTCAGTAACAAAACTTCTACAAATTGGGAAACATGAGTCAGTTTGAAACATTTTCGTTTTCTGTTACTATGGTGGAACCTTCAAACATGGGTCCACTTTTCGCAATTCTAACTGCATCCATAAGACTCCCTTGTATATTGCTATATCCATCGCTTGAAATAGGGTACTGCGTAAATGAAACGGGATAAGTGCTTTGTACACTTGCTACATTCGGAACTGCAATAATGCAACCATTAAAGTTATAAGAAATGACTAATTATTCTGTGTGACGCATTTGGCAATGCGAATCCAACAACGGACCAGACAAGCTTTGCATCACTTCTCAAAGCACATGATTCCCTGAAAGGTTGATGATTCGATCATCTGGTCTTCGTTTATCAATACGTAATACCTAGAATGGCTTGCTTGCAAGAATTTGTTCCGTTTTGCTTTGACATCACCTAACCACTGCTATCTCCCTTCGCTCCAACTTTGGAACAAATTATGAAAAAAAAATCAAAGCAATCTTTGATAAGTGGGAAAGTTCGAAAAGATACCATAATTTCTCTGCAAAACTGGTAGAAAATAAGGCTGCGGCGAATATACGGTGCTAATTTCAGATGAAACCACGAACTGTAACGAATCTATTATCATTAAATTACATTTAAAAAAGATAACGAGAATAAAAACTTCAAAATCATTAAATGGCGAAGTATTTTTTTCAAGATTGTACAACATTACTTAACTTGTTTCATATCACAATAATATTCACAGTAATAATGACCGCGAGACAAAAGCACCATCGAAGAAACATTGCAATGAGTGAATAGGCTACCATATGACCTTGATGATTTAACTTAATTCATATTATAAGCAGAAAATATTTTTGAATAAAATAATACCTACAAAATTCAACAGAAAAACTGAAAAAAATCACCTGTTGTGGATATATGGTCTGTACTGGTGGATGTGAAACTAGATAAGACTGTGGAGAAGCTGGAACTACTTCTGGATAGTCTGTTGTGCACAAGGATTCCATCTGCTGTGTTAATTTTTGCTAAAAGCAAAATGTTTGTGGCATCAACTTCAAATCAAAAAAGAATCTATCATAAATTTCTATACTTGACCGTTTTTTTTTCTCCCTCATAAGCATTGAATTTGAGTGATTTTGAAACAGATTATAATTAAAAAACTCACGATTGATAAAGTCGGTGCAGCACACCGGAGATACGGTGGAACAAAAGCATACATTGTTTGCTCTGCAAAGCGGCAGTTAGAAAATAAACTGACTGAAAAGTGAGAGGTAGAATCCAGAAACAAAGCTGGTCAGCGTTATTTTAATGGATAAGAAACTTTAATGACATGATGACCAACTACACCTGGCACAGCATTAACGATATACTGATTTGAAATGAAATCAGCAGGAGCAGGAGGAGCTGCATACACAGGCTGTGTTTGTTGCTGCGAGGCAACGATTTCCATACCACATTCATCGGCAAAATATACATTCTCAGGAAGATTTTCAAGTACTGAATTTTCTCTCGAATGAATTGCTTCTTGCCGATACCAATCTGTGATAGCCATAATCAATTATCCAGATTTCCGGTTACTTCAATTAATTAGCAACAACAAGAAAAATCAGTAAGTTCATTATTTAAATTGTTTCTCTCATTTACTAATCATACCTGAATTAATATGCCTGTTTACAGGCGTACGATGTTCCGGAAATGAAGAATGAGTGCTGAGAGTTCTATGCGGTGGTGTGCTTGTATCGATGTTTACTTCTCTCTATAAGTAACCAAAACGGAGAATAAGAGGCAAAAAATGTATCAGAACTGCTAACCGAATCAATCAGTTAACCGTTAGTATGCAAACTAATCTATGAGACGCACGAACTGCTCTGCCTTTCGAAATGGGTTAGCGATGTCATGAAAACTTCTTCGTTCCGGTTATTCTACTCGCTTGATTAGCAGGTTTTGCGAATGTCAAGATCTCCATTTGTCTGACGCATTCGAGGAATAGTCGGTCTATGGCCAAGACTGTCTCAGTTTTGCAAGAAACAAAGATGTCATTCCCAAACAACAATCGTAATAATGCGCATTAAAATATTGCTCATCTACAGTACATGCCAACTGATCTTTATGAGGAAAGATGTTCTAGATCTACCCACCGCTAATATTGAAGGTCGGGGATGATTATGCATAATAGGAGAGATTAAACTCGAGGAATAATCTGCCGACAAGCTTGTATAGCTTCCCGAGCTGCTCCATGGGAACATATGTGTGGTATTGCTCAATGATGGGCTGCCTTCTGATGCTGAATAGACACCCATGATGGGAATGTCACCGTAGGAATAACAGCTTCCAGGTGATTCAAGGACCTAAAAAAACAAACTGGTTCGAAGTACTGGAAAAAAAGGTCATCTCATGTGAGATGATATGCAAAGATCATATCTAGCATCTTTATTGACTTTTTTGAAATACAAAACTTGAAAAACAAAATGACTTACAGATCAGGTTATATTGCCTTGCATTAAACATTAATCACCACTGAGTTATTTTCTTTTAAAAAAAAATTGTCATAAAAAACAAACATGAGTGCTGCTGGCATCAGTAGAAGAAGTTGATCCTTTTTGATGCAATAAATGCATGTGAAGGGATGCGGTAGCTGGAAGAGCACAACCAACAGTAACAGTTGTTGGATCACCTGATAAGCAGTCACCCACTTCAAAGGAACGTGCTCGACGCCCAAAAATCAACCCTGGGCCCAAAGATTGTCTAACCTGCAATCTGACCGGCTCTACAAACTTAATGAATTACCTGTTAGTCACTTTTTCAAATGCACTTTTTTTGATATGAATATAATGGGGATGGAAAAATTGAATGAAGAGAGAATGCAAAGACTCGTTATGTTATCCCTTTTACAGTTTTATGATCATAAAGATTAACAAGACCATAAAGTTACAAATCATGCCACAGGTTGCGATTTCAGATAAATTTCGATTTAGAGAGGAACATCATGAATGGGAAAAAATTCATAGCTTTCAGGAGCAACTTTAAACCGAAATATCTTGTCAAAAACGGGCAGATTTCTATAGAAAAGAAATGAATGTAAAAGGAATATATACTTCTTCATAGCTCTGAGCATCCCTTCTAAGAAATCGACGAGGCTCATCAGTGTACATATCACTTTGTATCAACGACAAAAAATCGATATCAGGCCTAGAATTGTACTCCTTAAAAAGCAAATGATAAAGTCTCAAGACGCAAAAGAAAAGCAGTGAATTATAATACGTTCTCATAAATGAATGAACCAATAATCGGAAAAAAAATTTACAGTCTGGTATGCGATGTTTTATTCACGACAACAGCAGTACCATTCTGATCAACATTATGATCTAAACCGAAAAAAGCAGCTACTCGATGTACCAGCATACGATTGTATGAGCTCATAGCTGGGAATTTTTGAGAATTGCGTCTGGAATGAACATTTTAATTTTATTGAAATCGAAATAAATGAATTTTTATCCGGCCTTCTCAGAATTATTATTGTCCAGGAACGCAGAGATAAGCTGTACACAACCCTCTACTAGCCAGACATCACAAAGAAGATATCCTTCAAGACGAGTAACATACTTAATACTGAAATACTAATAGTGAAGTAGGGTTCAATGGCAATTTTCCTAAAGAAAGGATTAGCTTCCCTAGTTATTTCTCGAGATCGAAATGTGGAGCAAATATAATTTTATGGGAGATAAATTACGCTCACTTACGTTGAATCTTTAATAAGCTTTGTCATATGCTGTTCAAGCTGTAATAACATATGTCGATCTTTTGAATTCTTGTGAAGTGTGCAAGTAATAAATGAAAGCAAATTAATCCCAGTTGAATCTGTGTAATCGTGACCATGGCCAGAATCTATAACGCAAATAGCATACATAACTCCACTTCAGAAGTATTCATTCAAAATAATATATTGATAAAGCAAACCAAATGAACCAGAAGAAAAAGTGGAACGTGAAGCAAGAAAACGTGATGTTGGAGTATGCCTGGCAGAGACGCCAGAATCATCATCACCCGAAAATGCATGGCTGCGAACAAGTACTTTGGGTTTCGTTGATACAGTTACATTCAGGCTGATACGATGCTGTGGCTGAAATTTGTCAGCATAATTTTTTCTCTAGTAACTACTAAGTGTGAACAGACCCCAGCAGAACTACAAAACCCTTATGGATTGTTTAAATTGCTTAAAGTAAACAAGGAACTATTACATTTTGCTTTTTTTGCAGAGATCATTTCCTCTTCCAGCTATGAACAGCAATTTGAAGTTTATAAACGAAAAATTAAATAAGACACATAAAAGCGAAGAATTTCTATATCCTGATCTCTGTACAAAAAAGTAAAAAATGCTATGAAACCCAATATTAAGACACAAAGGAAAAAATTTGGCAATTTCTAACTTTCTGTGGACTAAGAATAAGAGGTAGCTATACCATCAAAACTGTCTCCTGAATGCTGCTGTTATCCGTTTGCTGAACATCCAGAGTTGTGGCTTCCTTATCTTCTTCATTATTTGATTTGAAGTTCCCACTGCATTCTTCCACATCCTGCAACGCTGTAGTGTTAACAGCATAAGAAGAGACAAAAGTGAAGTAAAAATATGGAAAACGTTAAAACTTCCATGGAACATACTTCTTCGTCTACTCCAGTTTGCTTAACAAGTTTAATTGGTCTATTTGATTGAGCAACAATACGTACGCCATGTAAGTCGTCTGCCAAACTGTTGTTCTCACCAGCTGTCTTCTTTTCTGATGACATCACGCATTCTGAAGCAACGTTTAAAAGCAAGTATATTAACAGCATGAATGTTTTTATGATATTTGTATTCCTTTTGTATCATTAAAAATTTATTTTAGAGAAATGTAAAACAGAGAGAATTAAAGTTCATTTGAAAATGGTAAAAAGTTGGACTGAAACTTCATGACCAGGGAAGTCTAAAAACTGTTAGAAAGCCAATTGTGAAACTATGCTCAGTATTTTTAACACCATTCTTTATCAGACGGTGAACACTGTGTTAATCAAATAACGAACAAGTCAATAAGTCAATCAATCTTGCTGTGATCTTAGGGAAGAGTACAAGAAACGGCAACTGAGAACATAACTAATTAAGCCAATGAACATCACTAAATACAGTAGACATCAAATTCGAAGCGTTGTTTTCTTGCTGTTAATTTGCTTCCCCACCTACCTTCCACGAGTCAATTGCTTAAGATCAGATATCTAGAACAAATAACCATAAAGGTAACAATTCTGCCGTATTAAATTTCACGGACACCTTAAGCATCTAATTTGGCCAATGCCGGCAATCTGAAAAATTACTTGCAGTGACATAATGTGATGATGAAAACTGACACAAGTTTAATGTTTAACACAAGTTAACAATAGTTTAAAGTTAAGTTTAATGCGCATAACGACATTTAGCGAAGATAAAGGGTCAGAGAGAGTGGCACTAGTAGACGGAACCAAAACTGAATGGGCTTCAGGATTCAACTATTTAACTACTGACAACTGTAATGTAAATGTGTGATGTGAACTGATAATTTTCAAAACATCTAAGAGTTCAACTACAAACACATTCCATGGATGAACTACTTCGGCTATAAATAAACTATAGATATTGCAAACATATGCCATATATTTGCACATTTATAAATTCAAACAATAACAAGATACCAGTCTTACCCAGAAAAAATTAAAACCTGGAATTTAGCTAAATGTAATTTGACTTTGAAGTATCTTGCAAAAGCTGATTTCCAATTCCTGACTTCTAAATTATCAGCAGCTTATTGCCATTTATCACTTATAGTATATTTGCCAATGTTTAACTATAAACCAGCTAATTAACGATTAACCAAGATTTTTCCTGTATGAATTCATGACCACTAAAAAGCAACCCTATCTTGCGTTGTGGAGAGTAATCATATCTACGACTAGTGATTTTCCAGACGTCATACGCAGGTTTTTTAACTCTACCTTATACAAGTTTTTTTGATTGTTAGCAGATAACCAAGTTCAAATGTTTCTTTATGACTATTTGTCACTACACCCATCCATTAATCATATGCCTTAACATACGGAAGAACTGCAAATAGTGATTTCATTGGCGACAGTATTTTACTGGCTTTCCCTCTAAAACTTGGATAGAATTTTGCATTAATTCTCTGTTACATTCTTCGCCATGCCAGATACAAAATTTGCAACTAGTAAATCATTTCTCGGAATATTTTAGGAAAAATTTTTTGACTGCCTTCTCTCCGCAGTCTATAATCTGTTTGATTTAGCAACTGCTGGGATGTTCTTTGTTGTTAGTGATGCTGTGAAAATCGTTATATATATATATATATATATATATATATATATATATATATATATATATATATATATATATATATAT